TGAACACCTTTACGGTGAGCATGGCGTCGCCGTCGTACCTAAAAAGAAGGAAGTACCCGTGCCGCAGGTCGTAGGCACGGTAGAACTGCTCCCAGCCACGACGCAGGTACATGTGGCCATACCTGATCACCAATTGCACGTCCTAATGCCTGCGAAGCCCGCTGCCGGCCTGTCGCAGCTTCATATTCTTTGGCCGATGGTCCTCCATCATCTTCATGAAAGTGTCAGGCAGCCTCTGTAGGGTGGTACAAGGAGTGATGGAGCAAACAACAGAGTTATCATAAAGAGATGGGTGAAGGGGAGATCTCTCCTTTTACATACCTGCCTCCTGGATGAATTCTCAAGTATGATATTGAAGAACTCAAAAGCATCCAACTCATACTCCGGTGTGGCAGAGTGCAGCCTACGGTGGCGGCCTCCCCCTATCTCTGAAAAGTAGCAGAAGAGACCAATTAGTACCCTTACAACATTATCATACAACATTACAGCAGCACAAGTTTTCAGCAGAAGATAATCAACTACACTTAATCAACGTGAGCCAAGTTTTTAGGCATGAAAGAAAACTGAGAAAAAAAGCAATGCACTTGTGCTCAACAATATCAACAGAGCATAGTAATCTAAAAAACAAATCATATTTTAGGTGGCTCTAGGTTGACATACTAGAGCTGAGCACAAGATTTATTAGTAGCACTAGTCGTCAACCCGTGCCTTCGCACAGGCTAGACACAAAAATGTTGACTTTAGTTGAATTTCGTATAATAACTATTTTAACTTCTTTCGGTCAGCAACCTAGGCAACTAGTACTTGACTGTAATAATAATGCATGGTTTCTTGAGGGCCATGAAAATAAGAACAACATATACACGACTACTGCCTGGTGTACTGTATTCACCCTCAACGAGACCATAACTCTTAACAGCTAAAAAAACTACAATCAAGAGGGAGCATTCAATCTGAACCAAAAACAAAAGCTAACTAGAACTTGTGCAGTGATAAAAAACTAACATATTCTTCTACTGCCCTTGCTTTGAAAACTAGTACTTGTGGCTGTCAAAAACTAACTAGAACTAACATGTACTAACTAGAACCAAAAACAAAAACTAACAAAAACTAACTAGAACTTGTGCAGTGATCAAAAACTAACATATTCTTCTACTGCCCTTGCTTTGAAAACTAGAACCGGTGGCTGTCAAAAACTAACAAAAACTAACTAGAACTAACATATATTAACTAGAACCAGAAACAAAAACTAACAAAAACTAACCAAAGACTAACTAGAACCAAAAACAAAAACTAACAAAAACTAACATATACACGACTACCGCCCTTGCTGTGAAAACTAGAAACTTGACTGGCATTTTAGGAATGTTCAACTTCTCCTTGATCTAAAATTAGGACCAGCGGGTTGTTAGCACTGTACATATGGTTGTTAGCACTATACCATATGTCAAAATGAGTGGTAACCATATGTCAAAATTAGGACCAAATTCTACTGCCCTTGCTTTGACTGGCATTCTTCTAAGATACTAAGATAACCTAGGGCAGGCCTTTTGATTGTGCTATCATTTTTTATCATGGGCAGACAGTACCAGGCAAATCAAAACTAACTAGATCGTAACAGATTTTGAACCCTAGGCCTTTTGAACCCCAGACTAGATCATAACAGATTTCACATCATGGGCACACTTACT